GTGCTTAATTAAATAAGCGCTTATGAATAAGCTATTTTTTTTATAATTATATGTAAAATACATTTAAATTGGTCTATATATGGATAGAGCTTAGCCGTATTGATTAAGGGTATATTTGAAAAAGATTAATGAATGGTTCTAGTAGTTTCAAATGGAGATTATTATCAATATTACCTTTTTAAAATGTTACTTTATTTTTTATTCTTGTGCAGTTGTGTGACTTGCTCAAATCTAGACTTGAGTGTCCTGATTTCCTTGACAAGTTAGAGTGTGCACAGGCGTCGGTTTATCAGAACACAGTCGGTATGCAACGACTCGTCTTTGTACTCAGTGTGTCAAATGTTTTTTCTTTTTTGATTGGGTTTTAGGATTTTAATGAGATTTGGCTTGCTTGGATTCTTGCAGAAGAAGGAAGTTCTTGGGATTTGGTTTGTGAAAATGATCTTTGGGAAGGTGTTGCCTCTGATGAAGAAGATTATGTTCTTGTTAGACAAGATGATATACTCGATGGAATTGCTTGCTTTATGGCTGCTTATTTGTTGTCCCTTAAGAAAACCAAGGTATGTATTGTTTTCTGCATGTTATTTTGTTATGCTGTTGGAGGCTCTGTGCCATACTTGGGAATTTTAAACTAGTATATGGTAGATTTGTGCTATAGTCTGAATGACTCCAACAGGAAAATCTAAATGTATGCTCATCAGTTGAGCTGCAAATTCCATATTGAAATATTAACGAGTTTTCTCAAGGATTGTGACGAGGGAATTATTCTACCCTAACCTTTTCTAAGGTTGTCTAACTTGTACTATATGTATGCTTTTTCAGAAACCGGGATTAGTTGGTATTTAAATGTTTTTGTTTCTTTTGTTCTTCGTACTTTTGTCTAACATTAAAAACTACGAAAACCTTCAATTGACATCAAAGAGTATTGTGTGTCATATTCCTGCTGCCCTCTTATCTTGAAGTTATTAAAAAATAAGTATAATCAGGTCATATATTTTCCTTTTCCATGGTATGATTGTCCGTAGGTTCTTTGCTTTAGTGTTGTCATGATTGCGAATTAAATTGTAAACTTGCACGATTTTGCACTAATGCTATCCTTGTACAAGTAAGATTGCATGCAAAGTCGTGTCTGAGTAGGATTGTAAGGAAGATCGCTGAGTTTTGTCTATCTCAATTTCTCTAAAGCAATCCCAAAAATGGTGTTCTTTCTTATTTTATGCTTCTTTTTTTTTCATAACATAATAAAACAAACCCAACTGACTATGTCTTGACTTGGATCAATAACGGGAAATATATTGTATTTGATGCATCTGTTTTATCTAAGTTTTTACTGTTACCTGTCCTTTCTCAAATTAATCGCTTTGTTTTTTTCTGCAGGATTTGACTCCAAATCAACTCCAGGATGGTGAGTTTGATTGCTTCCCTCCAAATATGTCATATTTTTCTTTGCCTACATTTTTATCCATATATTATTATGTGCTCTAATTTAGAGTTCGGCCTGTTATTGTTAGTTAGATAAAAGATTGGGAATAGATTTCTGATACTTCATTTTGGCATGTTCTTTTATCAGCACTCAGCAAGACATTTTCGGTCGAAAAGAAAAAGGGAAAGCTTCGAAAGGCCTGGGATGGGAGCAAAGTTATTTATAATGTTGCATCATGGGGGGCTACAGCCATAGGGTAAGTGGCCGACTCACCTCCTATTAACTTCAAATACTAAGGAATTGATTAATTTATAATCAGATCAACGCTATATGGCTGAATTCATTGTTTAGTGTTGGTTTGTTTTTAGAGGTTGTTGGAATTGTTTTTTTTTCCCTCTCTTTTAGTTAACAGTTTCATTCTTGACAGGATATATCAAAATCCTGTTATTCTAAGGGCTGCAACTAAGGCTTTCTGGACTTCTTGTCAAGTGATATCAAAGCTAATCTGATTTGGCAGTGCAGCTTGGAGAAACATTGTGATATAGTTATTTAACTGTTGTACTTTGCTTTGCTTGCTGCTGCAATTCAGTTTGATGTACAGTTCAATTTGTTTGCACTACAGATCAATTGATCTTAATGTAGTTCGATTTGATTTCAATCTTGTAAATATCTCTATTCAAATGCTCCGAGTGCAAATAAGATTCACTATTTCAAGCCCTGAAACATAACTGATCTTAATGTTGTTGAATTCAATTTGATTTCGATATTGTAAATATCTCTCTATTCAAATGCTCCGATTGCAAATAAGATTCACTATTTCAAGCCCTGAAACATAACTGATCTTAATGTAGTTTGATTTCGATCTTGTAAATATATCTATTCAAATGCTCTGAGTGCAAATAAGATTCACTATTTCGAGCCGTGAAACATAACCTGCATTTTTCTCAGTATCAGTCACCTATGCTTATTTTAGATCTACTTGGTCTTTATTAAATTTTAACTATCTTTTAGTTCTCCACAATATATTGTAGGTTGTAAGAGTTATAACCTATTTTAAAAATCAGTATTTTTAGTTCTCCAAATAATATTTAAAAAATGTAAATAAAGCCTAAAAATAAGTAATATTTTAGAGAAATTAAACTTAATTTCGTGATTTTGTTGAAACTAAACATATCTAATCCTAAAATTTGATGTCATTTTTATTAGATTAATATTAAAGTATTATATTGAATTCACTTTTTTACAAAAAATATTTCCTGAAGATTGATGGGAAGAGGGTAAAAAGTTAATTGCAACTTTAGTCTTTCTATTATGTATTTTTTTTGGATTTTGATCCTTCCATTTCAAAAATCGATTTTGGTAGTCCCTTTATTTTGTATTTTGGAAGATTTTAGTTAGGGGTGGGAATAGGTCAGACCAGATTTATTTACTAAAAAGGTCATGCTTAGCCTTTTTTAAAACCTATTTAATTAAATAGACTAGATTTAGGCTATTAAAAAAGTCTATAAAGTTTTATAGGCCGGTCTATATTTTTATATATATTAAAAATAGTCTAAATAAGTGGACATATATATATATTAGAAAAATGCTAAATAAGTCTGCTTATATATGTATATATTGATCGGCCTATAAGGTTTCTGAAGTAATATGGATTTATTGAAAATCTTAATGAGAAATAGGTTTTTAAATAAGCTTTCAGGCCAGACTTTTAAAAAGGTCAGGCTAGGCCAAAAAAATGAACCTATAGTAGGTCATACGCAAGCCTTGTAAGTTTATTGTAGATCAGACTCAGGTCTTATAAAGTTTATTGTAGATCAGACTCAGGTCTGAAAAGCGTTGACACGTATGCTGTTAATTTACTGCAGAAGAAATATGCGTGTAAGAGATGGAATTTAACGGGAATACCGTGTTGTCATGCTATCACTTGCATATGGTATAATAAGAAGGATTCGGAATCGCTACCACGATATCAAAATCCACTGCCATGTCATAAAAAAATACTTTCAGATTTGAGAAAATACTTCAAGGTTTGAGAGGGACTAAAATCCTTCAAAGTATAAAATAGAAGGACTGTCAAAATCGATTTTTAAAATAGAAAGATCAAAATTATAAAAAAAAATACATAATAGAGAAACTAAAATCAAAAGTAATATAGATCGGCCTATAAGATTTCTGAAGTAATATGGATTTATTAAAAACCTTAATGAGAAATAGGTTTTTAAATAAACTTTCAGGTCAGACTTTTAAAAAGGTCAGACTAGGCCAAAAAAATGAACCTAAAATTTATCGTAGATCAGACTCAGATCTTATAAAGCCTAGTCTAACATAGCCTATTTTCACTCCTAATTTTAGTCCCCTCAAATATGAAAAGCGTTGACACGTATGTTGTTAATTTACTGCAAAAGAAATATGCGTGTAAGAGATGGAATTTAACGGAAATACCGTGTTGTCATGTTATCGCTTGCATATGGCATAATAAGAAGGATCCGAAATCGCTACCACGATATCAAAATCCACTGCCATATCATAAAAAAATACTTCCAGATTTGAGAGAGACTAAACTCCTTCAAAGTACAAAATAGAAGGACTGTCAAAATCGATTTTTAAAATAGAAAGATCAAAATTAAAATTAAAAAAAAAAATACATAATAGAGAAACTAAAGTCAAAAGTAATATAGATTGGCCTATAAGGTTTATGAAGTAATATAGATTTATTGAAAACCTTAATGAAAAATAGGTTTTTCAGACCAGACTTTTAAAAAGCTCAAGCTACGCCAAAAAAATGAATCTATAATAGGCCATACGCAAGCCTTGTAAGTTTATTGTAGATCAGACTGGGTCTTATAAAACCTAGTCTAACATAGCCTATTTTCACCCCCTAAGTTTAGTCCCCTCAAATCTGAAAAGCATTGACATGTATGCTGTTAATTTACTGTAGAAGAAATATACATGTAAGAGATCGAATTTAACGGAAATACCGTGTTGTCATGCTATCGCTTGCCTATGGTATAATAAGAAGGATCCGAAATCGCTACCACGATATCAAAATCCACGATATCAAAATCCACTGCCATGTCATAAAAAAATACTTCCAGATTTGAGAGGGGACTAAAATCCTTCAAAATACAAAATAGGACGATCAAAATCAATTTTTAAAATAGAAAGATCAAAATTCAAAAAAAAAAAAAAAAAAAAAACTAAAGTCAAAAGTAATAGGTAAAAAATCATAAATACGGTTATTAAAAAATTGGTAAGTTTAGTCTATAATTAGAGTATACACTTGACAATAAAAACGACACCAAAAAAACAACAATGACACATTTACAATAATACTCCATGAATCATAAATAACTGATGCATGGTGTGAACAATAAACCATCAGAACAAAAAAAAAGCAAGAGATTAGATTAATAGAATGCAAAAAGCTAGTAAAACTAAATATTTTTTCTGCCAATGTAATTTAAAAAATGAACTATTTCCCATTTCTCAGTAACTAATAATCATATGAATATTGGAGTTCCTTACTCCTGCTACAAAATTGGTATCTTCATCATATTATTTACATGTGTATTATAGCCTAATAGTAAAAACTGTTGTCCTTGTGATTAGGTGCATCTTTACATAGCATAGAACGAACTTCCATGATGCATCTAGGTGCCTCCATGTCTTTCTCTTGTATTGCATTTCCTAGAAGCTGCTGCATCTGTGAGGCAAACGTATCATCCAAAACCTGTACACATACATGCATTCAAGTTAGAATCCATAAAATCCGAATGCCGAGCGCGTATTTAGAGAGGTTGTTACTTACAGAAACAGCCACCCTTGAACCCTTGTACCATGATCTATTCTCTTTTCGGTTCTCCAAGAAACTCAATATTTCCTGTTACACAAGAAATACATGAGCAAAAGTTTCACAGGTTTATTAAATCTTAAGATGCTACAAAGGTGGAGAAATCCGAGACGAAGGTGACATTACCTGTCCCATTCGATCCCAATAACCTCGACAGATGGAAATGAAAACATGAGTCTCGCAGACACTGTGAATGTGACTTATGGTACTGGCTAACTGCTCTTTCAGTGGCTGCATTCTACCTTTTAAATCAGACTCCACCACGGTTTCCTTGGATTCTTGAAGAATCTTCTTTAACTTGGTAGCATTCTGTAACTTCGTCTGAAACAAAATCAAAAGATACTTATCAGCGCTATTTGACAACACTTTGTACTAAAACGTGCTTCACGGAACAATAGCTTTTTTTTTCAAATTCGGCTAATAACAACAATAAATTTGATTGAAAAATCTACTAACATTCTCGACGAGTTTCTCCACAATAGCCTGTAAGTAGTTTCTGAACTTTGCTCTCAGCATCACTGTCACTTCGCTGAGCCGCTCACCAGGTGCTGTATTTCCGGCATTTGGCAAGCAAGAACCCCATGATTTGAACCGTGATTCAATCCTAGGACGTAAGGTGTCGAGCATTCTCTTCAAAGAATTCAAAAGAATTCCAACCTGACAAAAGGCAACATAAGTTTCAATTGTCTGAACAAAGTCTCATCCAAAAAAAAAAATTCCAGAAATTCAACTCACCTCATCAGGAACCACGTATGCGCAGGTAGATCGTTTTGCAAGTTTCTGGACATATTTCAGCCCAAATTTCTTTGGAGTCATGCTTTCTTTAAGAGGAGCTAATACATCCGCATATTGTTTATCTAAAGCTTCCACAATGGCCTTCTCAATATCAGCTATTGCCTGTCATCAGTTAAAACCAACTAAGTTAAGATGACAGCAAGAAAATAGAATTTCGGCATCATCGAAGATTAACGAGAAAAAGAAAAAATCTGGATGAGAAAACAGGAAAGTGATAATAAGATTTGGCATACATTTTCTAAAACCATTATATACTCCGGCCAACGGCAAATTATGACCTCGTAGTCGGTCAAAGTCTCCTTCAGCCGCTCATACATGTCATCAACAAATGGAGTAGTAGAATGCTGTGTTCTAACTCCAGACCACTTCACCTGCAAAAACAAAGCATTTAAACATCCTCGTCAATACAGAACAGTTTTATCACTTACCGACACTGTCGAACACATGTTTGATTAAGTGCATTCTTCAAAAGGTATCATGAAAAAGCGTCGCAATAATGAAGGAAAAAAGTGTACCTTGTCTAATTTGCATGACTCAAGCAAAGATTGACGTTTATCTTGGATCCAAACAAGAATATACAAATGGAACAGTTCTTTTGCGTCCACTCCACCTTTGATAGGACTGTAGAAGGAAATAAAGTATGACTTGTGTGTTAACAAAAGAGATTCATTCTTTGACTGCATAATTAGAGCTATGCTCCTAGTCGCATAATAACACTCGTATAGAGCACTTACTTAATATTCCAGGCTGAAATATCTCTTTGAAAATCTGATGTAGCAATAAGAAGTTCTGCTACGGGTGATGATGGACCTGTCGGTGGACAAGATATGAGGAACGCTCGTAATCTGTTGCAAAGCTCTGTGCTGTATATGGAAGCAGAAAGATTTGGCAGGTCTACAAAGCTGTAAAGTGATTCAAATGATGATTTCTATTAGTCAAGTTTCAAGCAAAAAAAAAGTAACTAAACCGAGAAAAGTACGTTATCAAGTGCACATACGGACTCTAGATAGCAGATATTGTTAATATGACATACATGCAACAAATAAGCGAAATTCAAGATGAGAAGCAAAGTAAATACAAGATAGTTTGAGAAATGAATGATACCTGGGAAGTATATTTTGGTTATGAATTTGGATATCAGTATAGATTTCATTCCTAAGATTTGTGCAGAGAGTTTTCATCTTCTGGTAAGCTATAGTAATAGTCATATGATCCATTAACAAACCTTCATTATTCTGTGTAATATATTCATCGGTATCGGAAAGGTGTCTTCTAGCCCTCTTTTTTGCCGCAACCTGAGGATATATTGATGGTCAATTAAACCCGAAAAGTGTATTCAATTAGCAATTGTCATAATCATCATCAAAAACTAGAATTACTCCAACCTGGAAATAATGACAGAAAGCAGTTTGGGCCTCGGGAGATAGGATATCATGAAGAAGCTTGTACAGTTTAACAGCAGGTTCCAAGGCAGGTGCTGCACGATCAGATGCTGGTCTGAAAACCTCGAAGATACCAGATAAACATGATTCATCAAGTGACTTGTAATTCTCAAAGGTAAGTGAGAGTATCTGTTCAATTTCTTCCTTGTTTTCTCCTAATAGTCGATTCTGATAAGTTGACCAAATTGAGCCGTATTAGATATGGCAAAAAAAAATATTCAATCTATTTGAAAGTAAGTAAATGCAAATTAAAATTAGTCTATTGACTAGGATATAGTCGTTCTTACAAAAAAAAAAACTTCGAAAAAATTATAAAAATAGAGGACATTAATCAATCTTAAGTAACATTAGACTTTAGAGGAATCTTTGGATTGACTTATTTGAGATTATTTGCCGGCATAAGTACTTATGGCATGTCCATAAGTTGTTTTCTGATTATTTCCATAAAATCACTGGGATAGCTTATGAAAATAGCTTATACTAAAACAATTTGACTTTATTTTTGCTACAAAAATAGATTATACATAAGCACCTATACAATAAGCCCTTAATTAAGTTGTTTATCTAAACAGGACATATATCAATCGAATAAATGAGATGCCGATGATACCTCCTGATGACTCAAAGAAGTTTTGCTATTTCCCTTCATGATAACTGGTGCCAGCAGAGTATATACCAAGTTAAGGCAGTCTGCGGTTGGTGTAGCTACATCCATTACATACGATAGGTATCTATTCAAGTAGAAGTGCAGATTATTATGAGTATATGAATAATGCAATAATTTAGAAAAACTGTAGAAAATTGCACATCAACTTCTCATTACCTCAGCTTGGTATATATCTCGGATACGCCATAATATGAACCAAACTCTGTTAAGAGCCATTTCCACGGACCATCTAACAATAGGTTCCTTTGTTGGAAGCCTTGGACTTTCATCGCAACTTCTAAAACTAAGTCGTACGCAACTGTCTCTGCTACAGAACCACACTGTGACCACAAGAGACAAAATGTAATGAGAAATATTCAAATTTTGAAACTCGTTGGTATAACAGAAAACAAGTTAATGTGCTTCGAAACTAACCTTAAGATGGCTATTGTCATCTGCACTTGTAGTATAATTTATAGAAAGTTGTATCTTGCCGACAAGCTCATGGTCAGGCTCACGGTAAATAGGCCACCAGCATACTTTGTTTGCCTGTTTTCAGATTGAACGTGAATTATTATATCATAATGATCAACACTCATGACATGCACTAATAACTTTCTTAAAAATAAGTTCGACAAAATATTACCGGATTATCAGTTATAGCAGCCACTTGGACAAGAACACGGCCAAAATGTTTTCCCTTTGAATCTTGAACTTCAATAAGTAAATCATCTCCAAGACTATCTGGGAAACTGTAAAGGTAGGCAAGAATATGTTCAACCACCATAGTTGTGAACGTAGAAAAAGACAAAAAAGAAGAAAAAAACTTACAACATATGGGTTTCACCAGATCCAGGATGCAACTTAATGGCATCTTCTTCAACTAAGCTTTTCAGTCTTAAAGAACACGAGAATGTCTCTGATGATAAATGCACAGAAAATAAAATTGAATGAAATAAGATGAAGTTAAAGCCAAAATAAGTGAAATTATAATACCATAGGTACATTTAGAACCTAGGAAGTTTAGATGATCCAAATCTCATTTTCACATACCTTGCACAACATCATAGGATGATGAATTGCTCCGCAAAGTTGTTACACCAACTTTCAGGAGTCCAGAGACTTGCTGTATATAGCGAGTGCTAGCATGCACATACGCCAAGCTTTTATGAGTGAATGAGCCATTAGCAGGCAAATGTGGTACAAAGCGAACTTTCCTAAGAGCGTGCCATCCAGAAGATATTTTTGACTGTAACTTCGAGAATTTGTATCGTACTGTCTCCATTTTAATTTTATCTGTCACTATGGATGACATGCTACAGCCAGTAGGAGGGTCAACACCCCTTTTGACTTTACGTACTGAGAAGTGAAGAATGTCTCAAAAGAATCACTATGGAGAAGTTAAATAATTTGAATAGTAAACAATAACACGAGATTATACCTTGCACCTTCATCTTGCCAATAAGTATTTTTGGTTTAGGTACAACACCCTCGCTGGAAAGCTCGGCATTGCATTTCACTAATAATTCCTCTTCGGGTTGAAGTAGCACTTGTCGCAATCTACGTATTAAAAATAATGAACTACATCAACACTTGAAGGAGAAGAGAGTAGTGATGGAAGAGTCTAGAGTCTTAACTCACCCAAATGCATCCCTTAGTAGTGAACATTCATTTTCCAAGAACATAGGAGCTTCCATACATTGCATTGCCCAAGCATGAAGGCAAAGCCGCGCGCAAGCATCGTATGCAATTACTGTTTGCCATGGCCCAAGAGCACTGAAATGAATTTACGTAGTTATATATTATATTATCGTAGTTATATATTACCATGCGTAAGGAGAAAAATATTCAACATGAACAAGAAATCTAAACATTGATACCTTGCATGAAATGTTGGTAGGCGTGGTTGTGGATTAGAAGACGCAGCACCCTCAGAACCAGTAGCAGTTCTGTGAAAACACGTCAAGATTAAGATGATATCAAATTAAGTGTTAGGACTCACGGTAAGTTAGGCAGATTCATGATATGCCACCGTTTTTTTGCAACAGCTTCAAACAAGATCATGGTGCCGACACAATTCATAAAACTCCCCGCGATTCCAACTATGCACTGAATTAAAACTACTATACATTTGTATATGCTGTATGGTTACAATGTCATGTATGTTTAATGAAGATTAAGAACACGGTGTTGAGAGGCATGCAATTACTTATTCAATCAAATATACTAACCTAACAAATTGTTCCGAGCTTGCATCTCTACTGTGCTCAAACTTATCCCTGGTTACAGATTTCAAGGTACTTGATTCCACTTTATTTGGAGTACTACGAGCCGTAGAAGTTGAAATTTGCTCATTAGTTGGTCTTATCTCTTGAGTAGAACCACAAAATGGGGGTGCACTTGGAACGTCCTCGTCGTCAGATAATCTTCCATTCTGAAAATCACCATAGCACAAATCACAAAGTTAGGCTAATCTCAGTGGGCCAAAGACACCAACACGTAACAATTTTGAGAAAGTGGAATATTTGAATGTAAACCACATGTGTTGGTGTTATGTTAATGTTGAAAGCACATTCAATTTGAAGTGTTGGTGCTACTTAGTATGTATTCACCAAGGGAATGCAGTAGCAAACACCGTAGCACCGGCACCTCTGAAAAATGGTGTCTATGAGAAAAGGTGCGTATGTGTCCGAAACCGACACAGACACTTCTGATTACGTTTAATTAATTCATTTTTTCAAATTATTACCGGTGTCCGTGTATCAGTGTTGGTGTCGTTTTCCGGTGGCCGTGCTTCATAGCAAGTGCATAAAAACAAAATAAAGAAAATTTATAACATATTGCACCTTTTCTGCAGAACTTTGTTGATTCATCCTTGAAGGTACACTGGAAGCATTCCCAGCTGACATATAAGCCCTACTTTTCGGAAGAGTGCCATTGACACTTCCTACTTGTGTCGAAGAGAATTCTGAGCTGGCCGCCGAATCCGATGAATCATCCTCGGTGAAACCATTCTGCCTTACATTAGAAGCAGCTCTCATCATCGGATCCCTCGCCAATCCCTGTCGTCCTGCCAGTGTTTCTCGAGACGAACTTACATCAGAAAACGTGTAATCACTCGCATATCGAGATCGTGGCATCTGGGAACCATTCCCGTGCCTCCTATCAGCACCATTGGGGATTCTACTGTCTTGTGGTGATGAATCCAAAGAATACTTGTCACCATAAACTTCCTCGTCCGAATCAACACTAACGTCCATATCAGTATTCGAACCACTGTCGAACCTCTCAGTTGCTGACACAGTAAATGCATTTGCTGGAAGATGACCACTTCTAAATTTTGCTGGTGGTGGTAATCCAAACCCTCTTCCTCCACCACTCATCATTCCATTAATCGGATCGTTCCGAGATCTCATTGTCGTAGTGTTTGAGAATGGAACTTCCTTCTAATCAACAACCAAATACCAAAAAACAAAAAAAAATAAAAAATTAGAATTTCATAAACCATCTCAATGCAGTGTTCTCCGAATTCAATTTCCTTATAACAATCATCATCAACAACATCAACAACAAGAAAGAAAACACACAAAAATAGAAACAACCTAGAAATATAAAAACCATTACTTCACAAATCACTAACAAAAGAAAAGAAAAATCTCAACTTTATTAGAACTAAAGTGAATTACGAGAAACCCATCATGCTAAAACCCAAATTAACAAAGCTGGACAAAGCTAAAAAGTGAAAAGAACAGTAATGGTGAAGATTACCTCTCTGACCCATCGAAGTGCATTTTTGTCAAGTCCTTCAGTAAACATCTTAACCTAAACAAATCTGAGAAAACCAAGCTTTTAATGTAGATGCACTACAAAGTGGTAGGTCTTAAACATAAAAAAAAAATGAAGCTTTTTTTGCAGAAATAATGAACAAAAATGGCAGTGTTAAATGTGAATAAAAAATGAGGGTTTTTGAGTAGTGAGAGAAAATAGAAAAAGAGAATCAGAAAAGGAAAATGAGAGAGAGAGAGAGAGATAGAGAGAGAGAGAGAGAGAATTAAAAGGGTTTGTTTGCTTAATCAAAAAGCTTCCTTTGTTAATGAGCTTAACTCAGAAATTAAAGAAGGAAAAAAAACCATAAAAATTGAAAACACACAAACAACACACACACTCTCTCTAGTACTGCTGTTTTGTCTTCTTTGTTTGATGGTTTTTTATGATGGTCTCATTGAATTCTAATTTGGGCCGTTTTTATTTTTTACTTACTATTTCTTGCTTATTGTTTTTGTTTTGGTTACATTTATTTTCATTTGTTTTCTCAAAAAAGTATTTTTCTTTTATTTACTCACATATAGAGGTGCAAATTAATTATTATGAGTTAAGGTTGAAATAAATTTTTTTTTTGGGTAAGTTTGACTTTAAAAGTTCATCAAGATCAGAGCAGATTTCAACGATCTTAAAATATTAATTTAATTTGTTATTTATCTTAAATTTATTTGTATGTTTATGTATTGCATTTTTAGAAATTTGTTATGATCTAAAAATTATTTAAAATTTATTTTATATTAATGTTTTTAAATATATAATATGACACAATATCTAAATTCGAGTTTATGTTTATATTAATATTTATTTTTTTATTTTGGAAGAGGTGAAAATAATTTTAGAAATATAAAATTAAGTAGAATGTGTTTCATTTTCCAAAAAGTGTAATTAATTATATTTTTTAGTATATTTTATTTAAAAATAAAAATATTTAAGTTTTTTGAATCTTAACACGATTATCATATTAAAATTTGTTATTTAATTTATTTTATAAAAATTTATTTAAATATAAAATCACTTGAACTTCAATTCATTTTTAGAAATAAATTAATTTATTCTAAAATTAATTTTTATCATTATAAAAATAAAGATACTCTAAATTATATTTCAAGACTTAGCATGATATTTAGAGATGGTGACATTGCATAACATATTTTAATTATATTTTATAATATATTCTTTACTTAGTTAAAACAATTAATTTCTATTAAAAAATGAAAACATTTAACACAAGACAGAGAAATTTAGTATTATAAAAAATCAAAATAAATTTTGAATTTAAATAAATAAAATCAAAATAAATAGAATAAAAATGAAAGGGGTGTATGGATAGATTTTGAGGTTCAGTATGAGGTTTAGAACACGTTTGGATTTTGAAAGATAAGCCCACTAGCCCAAAAATTCAAGTTTGATTAATTTGGGTTTCATGCATTTTCTCAAAATTGTCCAACTTACACCAATCATAACTCTCTCAATTTTTATCATATGAAGGTGTCCCCTATAATATCTATGTTGATCTTTTTTGGAAAGCTCAAGATGTCCCAAACAATATCTATGTTGATCATTTTTTCATTTGAAGACTTTATCTTAATGTAAGTTGTCTTGACAAAAAGTATCTTTTTTGTTAACTTTTGAAATGACCTATAATATTTTGACTCATATCTCTCAAATGAAGCATTTTTTATACTTGACCTTAGAGAGACAAAGTTGTAGAGAATTGAATTTCTTTCAAAATGAGATTTGATTGAGAAAAATATGATGAAACATGTGAAAGTTGTGTCTGGTCAAAGTTCAGTTGACTTCTCCTTAAGAAAACCCTAATTTGGTAACTTTTGACTTTTGATCAATTGAGAGTTTTCTTGATGAATCATGATCAGCTCTTGATTAAATGATGAATGTGAATTCAAAATATTGATGTTGACCAAAAATCTTGAAATTTGAGTGCATGTTGACCATAATTGACTTTTTACTCAATATAGTTGATTTTCAATCATCTGAGCAATTGACTGAGCAAATTTGTGATGTAATGCTTGAAACTTGACACGAGGATTCTTTGAAGTATATGAGAAACCATGAAGTCCACTTTATAAATTAGAAGTCTCATTTCCTCTAAGAAAACCAAAACCCTAACTATATGCCACTGCCTAGGAGGAGAATTTGTCTGATCAATTCTTGAATAGTTTTGAGTACTTGAGCACCTTGAATCAATTTGTCTTTAAAAAATGGGAGAAAAATTTTGGGGTATGACAAATATTAGCTATGAGTTTTGATGATAAAAAATAAGTATATTTGTGTGGACAATTTTGTCATACTAATGTTTGTTATTGCTGAGTACTTAACAAACAGGTTATGCTTCTGATGGATGGTGTGACCAAGACATTAGAAGAGAATTAGTTCCACTTCTCTGCTACACAAGTTCTGTTGAACATTAGCAAGACACTCCAGAAGTCTCTGAAGTGTAAGCTCTGATATTTGTCTAAAGAAACTGTTCTGAAAATATGAAGACAGAAGTTTCTACTTACGTCCAGATGCTAAAGACTCAAGCTTCTAAAGACAACGTGTCCCAAAGAAACAAAGTTAGAATATCTGAAGACAAAGTTTCTACTGAAGTCTAGATGTTGAAGACTCATGTTTCTAATAACAAGGTTATAAAGATAAGGATTCTGAAGAGCAAGTGTTGAAGACTCTAAAGACATAAATTCTAAAGATTCTAAAGACTTAAAGTTCTAAAGACCCAAGGTTCCAAGAAAAGGTTCTCACAACCAAGAGTTGAATGCTTTGAAGACGCAATTCTGAAGACTCTGAAGACTTGAAGTTCTGATGACCTCGTGTTATGTTCTCGCTTCTAAACCCATGTTCACAGAAGCCTCTGAAGTGCAGAAGGAAAGAAGATAACATTAACGTGGTACAGATAGTACATGGTACAATCAATATTTCATTCCACTACCATGAAAGGACGGACGTGTCACACGATCTTGTCCCCCGCATTATTGTTCAAGTTTCCACTGTTTCTAGAAATCCCAAGAGTACCCATCAATGGATATATTATTTTATTGGCTATATAATGACTTGAAGACTAAGAGAGAAAACTATTAATCAACGAAATATTCACGCGCAAACATTGTTCATAGGTTTCACATTATTAAGTCACTTTTCCTAAATTAGTTTACATACTCAGCTTTTAAAAGCAACATTATTGTAAATAAAACTTGTATTCAAATAGTTGTTTGATATTCCTTAAGGGACCGGGTAGGTCTGTATTCTTAAGATGTCTAGGACTTGTGAGTTTTAGAGGTTGTTAGTCACTTGCGGGTAGCTTGTGCATTATAATAATCAGGTCAATTATTGTTTGATATTCCTTAAGGGACTGGGTAGGTATGTAGCCTTAAGAAGTCTTTGACTTGCGAGTCTTAGAAATTGTTAGTCACTTGTGGGTAGCTTGTGCAAATTGTAATCAGTTTGGTTATAGTGAATTAAGTCCTCGATTGAGTGAGACGAAATCACCTTGGAGGATGGACTAGACTAGCTTGATAATTTTCAAGTGTACTAGTATAAACATATATTATTCTTTACTTCATGTTCTTACTTATTGTTATTATCAAGAGTGAAGATTAAAAGGATTTTAACATAAAGGGGAATATTTTTTAAAGAAAAGTTGTTGTTTTTTTTGTTTTAAAACTTAATTCAAACCCCCTTTTCTTGTATTTTTCACACCTCTAATTGGTATCAGAGCTCCGGTATTGAGGATATAAAAATTATCTGTTTGGCACGATCTTCTTTGGAGAAGCGGTTGTTGATCTAGTGTGTGTGAAAAACCAATGGCTACATCTACTTCCACTATTGATAATAGGGATAATGATAAAGATCACTATAGTTCAAAACCTCATATGTTTGATATGGAGAAATTTGACTATTAGAAGGATAAAATAGAAAGTTATTTTCTTAAATATGACTTAGATCTATGGGATTCAGTAGTTGATGGCTACACTCACCCAGTAGATGATAAAGGTCATAAGATTGCAAGAAGTGCAATGACAGAAGCACAGAAGAAAATATGTAGAAATCACTACAAAGAAAGAACCATTCTTCTAAGTACTATTTCATATAATGAATATGAGAAAATCACAAATAGAGAGACTGCAAAGTCTATCTTTGATTCTCTTTAGATGACACATGAAGGCAACGCACAAGTAAAAGAAACAAAGGATGTGGCCTTAATTCAAAAATATGAAGCCTTCAAGATGGAAGACGATGAATACGTGGAAACAATGTTTTCAAGATTTTAGATTCTTGTGGCAGGACTTAAGGTTCTGAATAAAGGTTAATCTACTGGAGATCATGTTAAAAAGTCATGAAATAGAGCTGGAACAAGATGAACCTCAGAACAAGATAAAATCAGTTGCTTTAAAGTCTATTTATGGGAAAACCAAGACTTATAAAGCTTAGGAAGAATCTGAAGAAGATTCAGATGATGATGAACTCTCTTTGATATCCAGACGAATAAGTCAAATTTGGAAGCACATGCAAAGCAAGTCCAGAAGTCAACGAAGGACATATGGAAGAGGCGAATCCACTTCGAGTCAGAGGAATGCTTCTAGAAAAGAAGTCACTTGCTTTGAATGCAACGAGCCTGGACATTACAAAAATGATTGTACAAAGCTTAAGAAAGACAAGAAGCCTGAGAAGGCTTACAAAGCTAAAAAAGGTCTCATGTCAACATGGGATGATTCAAAATAAGAAGATAAAAATTATGATGAAGAGCATGCAAACACGACATTTATGGCTAGGACCAACAAGGGAGAAGCAGCATCAGAAGACGAACTGACACTCAACTATGAGTCAGACTCTGATGACGACAAATAGGTACTTTCTTTCTTATCTCACTCTGAACTTGAAATTAGTTTATCTGAATTAATAAAAAGGTATAAATCTCTTCTAAGTAAACACAAAATCTTGAAAAAGAGTTTTGTAGCTACTTCTGAGAACACTACTGTAAA